TACTCGAAGTCCTGAGGTTTATGGTTTCCATGATATCGTACCTCGCCGACCTTAGTGGAACACCCTGTATATACAGGTCTGGATCTGCGAAACGATATAAGTGCGCTGTTCATATTTGTAGTTCTGATAATCAATTGGTCTGCCAGTATACTGACGGTTAGGATCTGAGAGGAGTATTGACATATATTTCGAACATATGAACGTTTCTGCTTTGAATTCGGTATCACTAACGCAGGAGTCAACGTGTTAATTAGCAATACAAAATCCATTGTCTCGAAATGTTCCCTCATGTGTTATAGCTTATTGCTCATAATAACTTTGTGTAAATAATAATTATACAATTTCACGTCCGGTAAACGTGACAACACGGCACGGATTGTGGGCGTTGTCTTGTCAGTTCTTAGCATTCAGCACCTTTCGCCAAGTCTCCAGTCATTATTAACATGATATTCTATTATGCGATATTAGAATTATTTTGACAAGCTGGTTGCTCGAAAACGTCGAAAATGAATGCCTATTATATCATTGCTTCCTCCTATCATGTTAAATGAAATAGTGTATTCGGAAGTAGTTTTATCCAACGACAGGCGGACTCTTGAAACTTGTTGATAACTCGATTATAATTATTGGTGATTTGACAACCTTGCTTCATGGGTGGGAATGAAAGATTATTTGAACAATGAGGAAACAGCATGAGAATTGTCGTTTCCAGGAATCTGATCTAGCTCAGAACTACAAATTGCGGCCATGACAGCACGTTGGAACAACGCACAGGCTTCAAAACTAGACAAAATGTTATCATCAAGAACTTTAGTGTAGCAAACAATAATTCAGAACCCTACCCACTGAACACATTTCAGTATTAGAAACGTTTTAAAAATGTCTCCCGGATATCTAAAACTTTTCCAGGCCTATTCAGTAAAAAGTCGTTATTTTGCGAGTCGTTAGATAACAATTATCGTTATCCTAATATGTCACGACAATTAGAACGACTCGATGAAAAAATGCATTCTGTAACATATGTCATTGAGATATTCGAAAATTAACAAGAAGTATATATTTTAAGAATAGATAGTATGACATAATGTGACATTATTTGTCATAAATTGACAAATCGTCATGTATATCATATAGATCAGAGATCTTCTACCGAGTCTTCTACCATAATAATCGGGGAAAATAATGTTTCTAAGGGAAGTAGGATTGCTTACAGTCACTGGAGTATTAAAATATTCTAACAGTGATTCGTTATTATTTGAATATACGTGGAGGAACTGCAGGGAAATAAATAATTTCCATCAAATCAATATGAACCCACAAACCCCAATATCCTGGAAGGAACTTGGAGTGGTTTGGTTCTATGATTGAATTGTTCCAGAGGCCCAATGAGGGATGAAAAGCAATGGAGAACAGAACCTATGTATTATTTTCATATGGGTGTTGGAAAAAATTAAATAGAAGATAATTAAGAGTTTTGAATAATTCTTTTCGAAATCTACCTATTTTGTAACTTGAAATCATACCCATTTTCAACATATACAATATTTGGAAGATTTGATACAGTGAGGTCATTGTCTACAAGTATGTCAGATATTTCATAGGTACATCTGCTTGGGACATAGCCCATAATTTGTCTCTTTCTGTAGATTTTTGGTAACATCAGATAGGTACATCAGTAAGTAGGTACTTTCCGATTATATTTTCAACAACGTTTGTTATATACTAGAATTCCTAGTGGCCTCTTTGGGATACTGCAACATATTATGAGAGAATACCTCCCAAACTATAGCTCTCTGGGTAACCGACAATCCTCCCGAAAGTTTCCTTCATATAGGACTTTCGAATGGTTTCCTAGCGTCCCTCAAGCGTCTATTCAAATTTTTATTCACTTGTCTGAATCGAAATGAACAGTGAATATCGTTATTTAACGATATGTCATCCACTAACGACACGTAACGATAACGTTTTGAGATACTGAACAGTCTGAAACGTACGAAAGTGCTGAACGGACATGATACTTTTTTTTTATAATTGCCAGTTTGAACTGGCATTTAGCTATAATTGCCAGTTTGAACTGGCAATTAGCCATAATTGCCAGTTTGATCTGGCAATCAGCCATAATTGCCAGTTTGAACTGGCAATTAGCCATAATTGCCAGTTTGATCTGGCAATTAGCCATAATTGCCAGTTTGAACTGGCATTTAGCTATAATTGCCAGTTTGAACTGGCATTTAGCTATAATTGCCAGTTTGAACTGGCATTTAGCTATAATTGCCAGTTTGAACTGGCATTTAGCGCTTTCGTACGAAAGGATCTAGTCATGGTATCGCCAACTAGTGACGCCAAGAAACGCGAACGATTATTTCGACCAACGCAAAGGGTGAGTGGACTGATAATGACTTATTGCGATTCAATTACTCCACTGTGTCGTTAGAGACCTATAGTATATTGTTCAACAAGGACGGAATGATAGTGATTTTCCCCTAGAATGAAATTTGCAGCCTGAGCCGTAGGCGAATGATGCTGCAATCTTTCGAGTGGGAAATTAGCATTCCCTGCGAGTTATACACCATAATTTTTCTACGGCTGTGACAGATAACAGCGACATTTTTTATTTCTTCGTCTTGTAGCCATCTGATTTCCTCTCAAGTAGTGCGCATCTATTAAACAGAGCTCACATTGCTTGAACTGTGACATCACATTTGCGGGGTACTTTCGTACGAAAGCACTAAATGCCAGTTCAAACTAGCAATTATGGCTAAATGCCAGTTCAAACTGGCAATTATGGCTTAATGCCAGTTCAAACTGGCAATTATGGCTAATTGCCAGTTCAAACTGGCAATTATGGCTAATTGCCAGTTCAAACTGGCAATTATGGCTAAATGCCAGATCAAACTGGCAATTATAGCTAATTGCCAGATCAAACTGGCAATTATAAAAAAAAATGTATCATGTCCGTTCAGCGCTTTCGTAGTACGAAAAACGTCCCAAGGAATGTAGCTGAAGAATTTTTTGGTCGATTTTTAGGAGCTAAAAGTGAGCTAAAATCATCAATAATGCCACAGAAATTTTCAAACGGCTAGAAATTCACTGCCAGTAAAAACTGATGTCACGATTTCCTAAGTAGGGGCAGACCATAGCACAGTTGCCATGTTTAGAAATACGATTGAGAACTTCAGAAAAATCAGTTATTTGATAATTCAAGATTCCTCAATTGAGTATTGGTAACACTCCTTATAATCAATAAAAATTCCATTGTCTCAAAATGTTTCCTTCTGATTTGTGACTTATTGCTCATAATAAATTTGTGTAAATGATAATTATATTAATTTACACTAGAAGACATTTGAATTGATGATCGTGACAACCACGGCGCATGACTTGTGGGCGTAGTCTTGTCAGTTCTCTGCATTTAGCACAATGCTGCCAAGTCTTCAACATTCACATGATATTTTGTCATGAAGAATATGAATATTCTGGACATACTGGTTGCTCGAAGAAGTCAAGAATGAGCTGAAACATCATGGGTTCCTCCTACTATGTTTTATTCAACGACAAAACTCTAACATCTTTTTGATAACTTGATTATGATTGGTGACTTGATAACCTAGCTTTGTGAGTGGAAATGGAAGATTATCTGACGAATAATGAAACAGCATAAAAACAGCATAAAAACTGACGGCGGTCATAGGTTCGTTCGATATGAGCTCTGGAATTCAACAATAATTGTAAAAAACGAATAGACTCATTATTAACATGAAAAAAAGCGTGAGAAGTATTGGAAAAGTCAACTAAGGTTTCTAACGACAGAGTGGAGTAATTGAATGCCAATACTTCATCATCAGTTCCCTCGCCCATTATGAATATGTATGAGGTATATCATTCTCTGGATAATGGGGAAGTTTACTATATTGAGGTTTTCATCCCACTGTGAAGTTTGTATAGAATTGATATATATGTATTCTTTATTTTTTCCTTGAGATCAAATTTCACCTCAGAAAAAAACAAATAAAAGAGGAACTTGGCTCCTCCACCATTCCCATGACGTACTTTCTGAAAATCCACATTCACACAGAGTTGAAATACGATTCCCTGTGCCAGTACGACGTTGCCGACATCATCAATATATCTAGATTTCTAGAAATTGTTCTTTGAATGCATCATAACTATAAATATCATAACAGCAATGGGATACAAAATGGGTTCTTCAATCCTACGTTGTCGAGTATTATGTTATTATGAATAATTCCCATGAATCTCTCATTGTCTGAATGAAGTTGATTACAAATAAAGATGAATTATGATATTTTGCGATAGTATCTATAATTTTTCACTATCGTCATATCAATATATGTTATTCATAACTTGTCAGTCATTTTTTTGGTAATGAATTCGTTCCTCAATAAAAAGGATGTATTTTCTAGGGAAGTTGCAGATTATATATTGCAACAGCGCCTAATACTTCGATTCCGTCAACACAACTCGAAATACTGACAGGCACAACAAGAGGAAGGAGTCATGGGTGTCGGCTTCATTCTGTTCTGACCGATGGCAGTAAATTAGGAAGGATCGTATCATTGAATGTAGCCGATAGTGATTCATTAATTCAATGATATTTTCGTTTAGGATCGAGTTCTTTTCATTTTGTCAGAATGAAGCCAACTACCTTCTGCATTCCTGCTCCGAGTTCATTTCTGGTTATGTATGTTGTTGTTTACTAGTTTCACTTCTTCTGCTATTTTTTACATTCGTTTTTCATTCGTCAGCTATTTGTAATTATTCGCTAACTATATTCTTCACCATCAGCTATTTTCAGACTACATTCAGAATGTACGTCACAAGTTGCTGCCCCAGAAAGTAAAAATTGCTTCAATTTGAAAATGAAAACGACTTGGACTTTATCGGTCGCCATTTTGTACAGCGTGGACATAAAACTGGAGAGTTCCGAACTTATTTTATGAAAATTGAACTGAAGGAAACTTCCCCATTCATCAGTATTTTACGAATTTCAGGAATACCTCCTATACCGTATAATAATTCTCACCCTTGGGGGGTGCTATTTACGGTACTAGGAACAGTGATGCTTGACTTTGATGCCGATGCATGTCAAAGTCCTGCGAGAGCATATCTATTGGACGTTACTTTACCAGGTAAGATACAGGGTCTTGTTTTCAAAAAGACCTTCAAACTGAATATACAGTAAAAAATATTGATTCTGGGAAAAAAGTCTCCCAGACATCGCGTTTTTTATTTTGGGAGGGACTTAATGTGATTCATTTATCATGAGCATCAAATCGTCTCTTATCACATATATGGCAGCAACCTATTGGAGAATAGGATAATCATGTCAGATCCATCGCAAAAGCTGCTTCACAAAAACTCGGATTCTTGTTCCGTGCGAGAAGCTACTTTACAGCTCAACAGCTTCTCATGATCTACAAAGCGCAGATACGGCCTGTTCTAGAATACTGTTCCCACATATGGGGTTCAGCACCAAAACATACGCTGATGCTCTTAGATTCCATCCAGAAAAGAGCCATTCGCCTGGTAGGTGGCGCCACACTCACTCACTCTTTGACATCATTGGAACACCGTAGAAAGGTCGGCGACCTTTCACTTTTCTATCGATACTTCCACGGGAAATGTTCTTCGGAAATCTCTGCTATCATCCCTTCACTAGCAATACCAATCAGACGAACTAGACAAGCCCAGTCAGCACATCCTTTCGTTGTCAACCTCGAAAGATGTCGAACAGCACTTTATCAAGACTCCTTCATCCATAGAACGGCTAGGCTCTGGAATTCATTGCCTGTGGAAGTATTCCCAACAACATAATATAATCTCCAAAAGTTCAAAAAAAATTCCAATACCTACCTCCTGTCCCTATCCTCCCTAGGAACGCACGGTGTTCTTTGAACATTATAGGGATTCCCTTTCGTGCGCTTCAAGCGATAAAAAAAAAAAAATATGGTGAGACCTTAGACAAGGCACTTGATATCTCCAAGGCATTCGATCGAGTCTGGCACCACGGACTCCTCGCCAAGCGTCCATCTTATGGCTTGCCTCCCCAGCTATGTTCTCTGCTAGCTAGTTTTCTCTCAAACAGGTCTCTCCATGTTGTGTTCGAAGGAGTTTCATCTGACCATCATCATAAATGCTGATGTTCCGCAAGGATCAATTCTAGCACCAACACTATTTCTACTCCATATCAACGATTTGTTGGGAGCAACTTCATGTCCAGTACACAGCTTCGCGGATGATAGTACCCTCCATACCGCCTTTTCTTCCAGGGCTTCAATGCCAGCTAGGCAAATCAGAAACGAACGTGGAAGAAATGTTGACAACATAACTTGGATTGGAGATCCAATAACTTGGTAGATTTCAATGCAAACGAAACACAAGCCTTCTCTAGAAAAGTCTATCTCACTGTGCCCAATAGAGCTTATCAGGAGTAACCATACCTTTGAAGACATCCATTTCGATGCTTGGTATAACTATCAGCAATAACTTTTCTTGCAAAAATCACGTGAGATCACTTGCTAAAAGTGCATCCCAAAAACGTGGTTTTCTGTTTCGTATCAGGAGCTATTTCACTTCCAGCCAGCTGCTTATGAACTATAAGGCACAGATCCGACCTGTCCTGGAATACTGTTCCCATATTTGCAGTGCAGCACCCAAACATACCCTGAAACTGTTGGATTATGTCCAAAAATGGGCCATTCCTCTCGTGGGTGATTTTTTCGCTCACAAACTCACTCACTCCTCTGGAACACTCTTGAAGAGTTGGCGATCTGGCTCTATTTTATAGATATGAAATATCAACAATTATTCCTTCCTTGGCAGTCCCGATTAACCCGTCGGATTGATGCATCGCACCCCTTCGTGGTCACTTTGGGGACCTGCAGAATATCTCTTTTCAAAGACTCGTTCTTCCAACGAACAGCGAGGCTCTGGAACACATTGTCAAGGGAGGTGTTCCCGAGGCCGTTACCTTATTCCCCTTGGTTCTCACGATGTTCTCTGAACATTACAGGATTTCCCTTTTCGTGGGAACCAGAACATAAAATAAAATTGGTTTATCATTCATGTTTCTTCGAACAACAGATATATTTGGGAGAGCTTCAATTGAAGCTATTTTCTATTGTGTAGTTTGTTTACTTTCATTTATAATTAGGGTTAATTCATGTAAGTATTCGAAAATTGTTATTCCCAAAGAAAAAGTATGCAAAAAAGAAAATATAAAATTTCAGCAGAATTTTATATCCGGATTGCAATGCAAATTTGAAAATGTTATCGTGTAGATAATTCAATTGGTATAATCAATATTCCTTATCAAGAACTAGTTGAAATGACTGACTCTGTAATGCTTTTTTGTTTTGTGATAATTAGCAACTTTCGTGATTTCGCTGAGGCGGAACCACACTATACAGGGTGAGCCAGAATAAGACCGACGAACTTGATAGGTACAAGAATTCCTCACCTCTATTTGAGGTGAAAAGGTACTACCAACGTATGTCCTAAAATGCATCCTCACTGAGATACGGGGTGTCGAAAGTACGAAAGAAGTTAATATTTCTTTAAATTTCCCCAGAACCCTGGTAGCAAGAAAATTGAAACAGGGTATACCAATCCAGATCAATCATAGTAATCACATCATTTTTTAATTCCGTCAACCAGTGACGTAGTAAGGGTCGTATGTCGCTGCATTTTCTTTCAAAAATTTTCTCTGGCAGATAAATTATCAAATTAGTGAATGAGATCAGATAGGATTATCAATACTCAACCTGAAAGTAATAAGTGAAATGAATGTAGAGGTTCCAGAGATTTTTTTTATCGCTTGGAGCGCACGAAAGGGAATCCCTATAATGTTCAAAGAACATCGTGCGAGTAACTTGAGACATTTAGGTTATATTCAGTAGAGGCCCAATGCGTTGCGTACCATACTCTCATAATGCTGATAATATACGAGATATCGATATTACTTTTCAACCTCCCGAATATTTTTGAATGTCGAAAGAATCAAAAACATTGTTTGGGTGAGTCAGAAGTAAATCGACAAACTCGAGGTTAATAGTCGTGAGCCAACTTGAATTTGTCAGAACCAATAAACTATTGAAACAACAGTTTTCAATTGAGAAGAATCATGGTAACGTTCTTCATATGTCAAATAGTAAAGAATTTTAATTATTCACATAGAATATTTATGCGCTGAAGGAAATAGAATAATCAAATTCGAAGCAAACGTTCAAATGGACATCCATTTTGTTCAAAAGTAGTAGTAGTAGTAATAGTATTGTGGGGAGGCTGTAGCCAGGCAAGTAGGCCCCCATGAGCCCTTTTTGCCAACCCCTGCTCTCCACATATCTATACACATCCCTCTTTTAGTTGTCCTTTTACCTTCCCGTCCTTCTGATGAAGGTCAGGATGTCCGGCCACTCTTATTCGACCAAATCTTCCTGTTGTAGTTTATCTACTCCAAAGATTTCGAATCTCATCCTTCCATACGCCTCATACTCTCCGAGGAAGTGAAGTGATGTCTCCTCATCTTCTCCGCATTCACGGCAAGTGGGACTATCTTCCACACCTATGAGTGATAGGTGTCTGCGTAACATGTTGTGCCCTGTCAGTATCCCTATGAGGAGGCGCAGGACTTGGCGATCCCTGCCCAGTAACCAAGCCGTCCTTGGCTTGCTTGGACCGGCCACCAGGTCTCTCGATTGCCTGCAGCCGCCTATACGCCTCCAATATACTTCTAGAGCCTCGTCCGCCCATTTGTTAAGGGCAGACGAAGTTTGGCTTCTTGTTATGCCCAGTGCAGGCTCCGGTCCCCAGAACGGTGTCGCGGATCCGATTCTAGCCAGCTCGTCGGCCACCTCGTTCCCGGGCGCATATAAGCAAAACGTACATCTATTCGGCAAACGGCCTGTATCTACGCTTTCTGATTGGTTGATGCCAAATAACAGTACACATTGCTATACCGGCGCCAAATAGATGTACAATTTGCTGCAGATCTCGCCGCCAAATAGGCAGTACGAATTGCGTATGATACCTAAAATAGATGTACACTTTGCCATCTGCATAGAGCTCGCGCTTTTGTTTTTGTTTTTGGTCAATGGTCAGTCATTATCATGTAAGCAGCACGTGCATCCTATCATTGAGTTGAATACCTATAGTTGAGTTTGATTTCAATACCTTATTTCAATATGGAATTACCCCAATCTTTCAAATATGAGACGAATGGAGTTACTTAACAATGATAATATAACAGTTTATGGAGATTTACACAATCTAGAAGAATGTGATATGTGGATTCGGGAATTTTCTAGGTTAAATCACACGAAATGGATCGTACGTGAAAGTGCTCCCAATTTAAAACTTTTTGTGTGTTCGTAAGTATAGCTAAGTAATAATGTTTTATTAATTATTATGTGCTGTGCTATGCTGAAAGTGGGGTGATATTTATGATAGTTTCGATGTAACAGAGGATTTTTTTTTGTTAGATTTCGTTAGGTTGAAGGAGGTAGGGGTGGGTAGAAGCGATAGGAATTGTTCAGCGCGACCACGCGCGACTTTGTATGTATATAGATATTTCACAAGTGGAAGCTTTCGTGACTGTTTGATTGAACAATAAGTATTCATGGGAATATTCGTGTGAATTTTGGGGTCGAAAATTGAAACAATTGAGAACCTTTTTTTCGATATTACGTTGCCCAATGAGATTTTTGTTCTTGGTCACGTGATATCAGATTCAAAATTTTTAATGGGACAACCTGTATATTTTGGCATTTTCACATTTCTCCTGATAAAACGATTTCAACAAACGATTACAATTGTAGTCTCTATTTATAACGATCAATTTGAGAACTACCAGGTACGTCAATATCCTTTGTCCCAAAGTTTTTTGACTACGCTCTTCAATAAAATATGAATGATTAATATAATTTTGCATCGTTTTAATCATCACAATGAATATAGGATTGCCCACATAAACATTGACACCCTAAACCCAAATAATTTGGCAACTGCTCGTTTCAGACGTTTGTAGTAATCGCCGTGGGACACAAGATATTGAAGTACCTGGTATAGTTCTTGAATTATTCGTTTTAGGCTACAAGTGTGATAGATTGTTGGAATTGTTTTATCGAGAGGAACATAGTAATTCCAAAATAAACAGGTTGTCCCATTAATAAAAAAATAAATTTTGAATCTGCTGTCACGTGACCGAAAACGTAATAAAAGCTCATTGGGTAATATAATATTCAACCCCAAAATTACAATCTTCTACTACTCTTGGGTTTCAAGATATTCCCTGTCTTAATTGTCGTGGAACACCCTGTACATTTATGTTTTTAGAACGCATTATCGATGTGTGAATGTGATGAGTATTTTCGATTTTGTATTATCATTATTATAATAAATTTTTGATATCCCATGCAGTTATTGCAGTTTCAATTTAATGCCATAACGTACAAGGCGCTGACGCGACTCCAACAATATGTACTGTTATATCTGGCATACACATGCATTTTCAATTCACGCGCAAAACGTACATGACTCTGACTCCACAATGGCAGAACGTACTGTTATTTGGCATCAACCAATCAGAAAGCGTAGACACAGGCCGTTTGCCAAATAGATGTACGTTTTGCTTATATGCTTCCCGGGCACCCCCTGTGCCCCGGAACCCATACTAGTTCGACTTCCTTCTGTTCAGCTAGTTTTGTTCTATATAATTGACATCTTCTGATATGGACGTTTTGGAAGATGCCTGGTGTATTCTGGATTACCATGCCTGCTACTGGAATTCTAGCAGTTGAATCTTCTATAGATTCTACAGAAGAAAAATAAACTATGGATTTGAGGTACCCCCAAAGGCACAAATCTAGTGGAGTTAAATCGGGAAAACGTGCAGGCTCATGAACTGGACCTATCCACTAATCATGGAAAACGAGGAGGAAGAAAATATGGTCCCACAACAATGCCTGATGCCCAAATATTGACAAAAAACTTATGTTGGTAGCCTTCTCGGAACATACCATGAGGATTTTCTTCATCCCATATATGGATATTCCTGCTATTGAAATATCCATATTTTGTGAAACAAGCCTCATCGGTGAATTGAACATATCTAGGAAAGTCATTTGATTCCTGGTATTTTCCAAACCATTCACCAAAAACTCAACGGGGGCGAAAATCACCAGCACTTAGGGCCATCACCTTCTGTAACTGGAACGGATAAAATTTAGAGAAATCTCAACTTTTTTTGTACTTTCGACATCCTGTATCTCAGAAAGGATACATTTTAGGACATACGTTGTAGGAACTTTTCGCTTCAAAATGAGGTGAGAAATCATTGTACGAAGTTTGCCGGTATTATTCTGATTCACCCTATATGAACTCAACCTTGAACTTTTCAGAGGACCATGCTCGCGGCCTAAGTACATTTACTGCGATGGCTGGCATGGGAGGTTTTTTTGGATATGCTTTGGGAGGCATAAACTGGGATGTGACATTCGTAGGTGAGGATTGAATGTATTATACATATATACAGTGTGTCCACCTTAAGGACTTACCACCCCTGTGAAATTGTTATTACCTGACCGATTTCGGAAAACTTTTTTTTGTTGGATAGGTATTTGAAATGTCCATCCAATAAGAGAGTGATTTTATTCATGAACTGTAATCGTGGCCAACTGCGACCAGCTTTATTGACCCATATTTGAGAAAGTACTATTAGGGATTATTTTTCACAAAAAACAATGATGGATTCTGAATCACGATCACTTGAAAAACACCTTTACTGAATTTCATCATCATAAAACACAGGGTGTCCGAAAAAACGAATTATATTTTTTTTAATAGGTGATCAGAAAATGTAGTATTGTGGTATTTTTGAGAAGAATTATTGATGACACATTATTATGAGGATCACTTTGAACATATCTGTACCGATTTTCATCATTCAAAAATACGATGTGTATGAGAAAACAATTGAAAAGAAAAAGTAGGCAATATTTTTTCTTCAACTCAAAAAAAATATTAATTTGATTTTTCGAACACCCTGTATTTGATGATGATGAAAATCGGTACAGGTATGTTCCAAGTGATCCTGATTTTTTTTTTATTTTGAGAAAAGAATCATCAGGATGAAAAATATTGCTTACCTATCCTTTTTAATTTTTTTCTCAGACACATTGTATATTCAAATGACGAAAATAGGTACATGTATATCTGAAATAATCCTCAATGATAATTTGTGATTATTTTTTTCTAGAAAAACCACAGAACTACATTTGCTGATCACCTATTTGAAGAAAATGATGATTCGATTTTTCGGACACCCTGTGTTTTATGATGATGAAAATCGGTACAGGTATATTTCAAGTGTTACTGTTTCAGAATCCATCATCAAGTTTCGTGGAGAAAAATCCCTTATAGTACTTTCTGGAATATGGGTCATTGAAATTTGTCGCAGTTGGCCACGATAACAGTCCAAGAATTAGATCACTCTCTCATTGGATGGGCATTTCAAATGCCTATCGAACAATAAAAAGTTTTTCGAAATTGGTCGGATAATAACGATTTTACAGGGGTGGTAAGTCCTTAAGGTGGACACACTGTAGAGAATTGATGATTCCATTTTCTGCATTTCATGATATCCAGCAGGTTGATCCCATTTACAGGAAGTACATAATTCAATCAACACTATAGAAGTGAATCTGTTAGTTAGGTAATGTTACATGTAGATGGCTTATGAATGGATCGCTGTTGAAGAAAAATATATCTTCATTACATGAATCATTAGCTTCTCTATACATTGTATTGATAGGAATATTCTTCCATAGATGAAGAAACCCAGAGTCATCTCCACAACATTTATTTGACGGTCAGAGATCAATCACAAAAGGGTACATGTTTCGGGCTCATATAAGCACATCATCAGCCGAATACAAGATTCCAGTTATGGAAATGAAATAGTTGAAAATTTTTATAATTTAGAGAATAAAATGGGACAACACTGAGACCTATGCACCATGATTAGGTATAATAAACTTGTTTTTTTTTATAGAAACAAATTTTCAAATGTCATGGCATACGTCAGTGTTTTGCCCCATTTTATTATCTGAATCATCGAATTCCTCAACTAAACTACTTACCAGATGGAGTGGGACAACCAAAAAATTGACTAATGAGCTATAACATTATTGGGCGTCCTGATTCCGAATCCGAAGTAATTCTCAACCTATTTTGACTCCTACTATCATTTTCTGGAAATTGGGGTGGTTCCATGGCTGTTGGCGAGCAGTGTATACCACTGAAGATGACTCCACTTGATCATAGAGTCCATTTTTTGGTATATCTCTCGCTCCAACAAATTTCAGAATCCTTACCCAACGATTACGTAAGATACAGGGGTGCTTCCATTAGAAGTGGGTTTATTTTCTCTCCCGCCCTATATAACTTACTCATATTAGTCTTTAAAATCATATGTTCTAAGCTGAAGCGAATCAAACAATACATTATTAGTTAATAAAATGAACTCAAAACTTGTTCCTTACGTAGTGTTTCTCCTCTCGAATTGCGGCTGCAAATTTCATGCTTATCATGTGATTACATTTTTCGTTGCATAAAATACCATCTAGGCAACATAGCTAAGCTACTTGTTATATTTTTTCAACTTATATATTCATTTTTCGTTTACAATATGTGAAAGTCAAAGCTGTTTGAAATTTGTCCCACCATACAACATGACCAAGACATTTTTCAAGGATAATGATGAGGAATATGATATCGAAATCAATTTTAACAACATTATACTGTCGGATATGAATATTGAGACACCAGTACTTATACATATATGGGACCCAGAAGATTTGATACCCCTATCGCAGAGTTGATAGTGATAGAGAAAAAATGGTGTGGAATGGATGAGATCGTTCAGCCAAAAGATCTCAATAGAACCTCTGGAGTTGCTCAAGATGGATAATCTCTTTCGTCAGTTTATCACGGACAAATAATTGAATCGCATGGTTTTCTAGATGAATTTATATACTGAGCAGAATTATCAGACGACTGGAAAGACATATGAAGAAACAGATATTCATGAAATCTTCTTCTTGGATGCCGCTGTTGTCAACTCATTTATTCTTCACAAGATACTCTATATGTCTTTCAATGTTTTCAATGGAAGATTTGATCATTCAGTCGTCAATAAATATCAGTATCTTCATCGAGAACATCAACCGAATGGACGATACGAATAGAGAAAAACACTCAGTCAGAGCCGGGTAATGAGTGTCACACAGGGTGCTCATCAACATATCCGAACAAGTCGAAGGAGATGATGCTCTTTGCAATTCAGGAGAGTTAGGAGTTGGAAAAAACTGGTTGTGTGTTTCACTCTGTGTTACAAAGAACAAAACATGTTTGCAGACGTTTCACAGTGATTTGAATTGAGTCGATTCTCATGAAATCTTTCACCTTATGGAATGGTCGGTTAGATTGTGACCCAACGTTTTTTTTTTTTTTTTTGGAAAAATTAGGAGATTCTGAAATTATGTCAAATTTGTCCGTATCTTTCGAGACATTTGGAGTTAGTTTATTGATGAATCTCTTGAAAATATAAAGAAAAATAAAGCTGTACATCTAGGAGGTGTTATATTTCGAAATTCCAGTACCTGAAAGAGTTAAATCGTGTCTATTGATGTTTTCAGGATACCTTCTCGGAGGTCACGTGCGCGCAGTCTTCACCCTCATCACCGTCATTTTCGTCGTGTGCGTCTGCTACACAGTGACCAGCTTCCGGGAAATGCCGCTGGCGGCGCTCGAAGCGAGAGCGGACGGGACCGCAGATTTTGGCGAAGGACCGAACAATTATGGCGAAGGCGAAGACATCGCGGGTTCTGGCGGAGGCGCGAACTATGGCGCGATCCTGAACACCGAAGTCCTTGAATCACCGGTAAGATACAAATAGTATATCACGTAACTAGGGTGGAATGTGTCGCTATTCAGAGATGAAATAAAATACACACGATAGTGGCCTTTTCACGCTTCCGTATCAATCCCTCGATCAAAATAACTTTTCATAACTTCGTAGTAGAAAACTCTGTCATTTATAGAAGATATTCTACGAAATAATATCAGATTGTTAAACCTGCATTGGATTTATTAGAAGTATTAATTACAAAAGCACTACTTCTCAACACTACTCATAAGATATCTCGAATATTGTTTTATTGCTTATCATTCCAATGAACTTCACTATAGTGTTTATTTTGTAGTAACTACTGTGATGTCTCAGACATTGTCGCTACTGTATTTATCACCTACTAATTGGGTGAACTTTTGGTCATATTTGCCGTAAGATATCAGTTATTTCCACTGCAATCATTCCCTATGAGTCCAAGTTACTTTGGTTTGAAAACTTTAGCTCCTGTCACTTAAACTTGTTATCATTACTGAGAGTCTCAATAGATACACTGTTGAATTTGATTCCCAAATTTTTCAGTCTCAGCTATTATTAAACATCATGAAGAACAAATGATATCATTCATTCGATAACGAAGTGCATAATTATGGAATTCAACATCATGATCAATTATGATTTTTGGAGGAAAGCCAAATGAAATAAAACCATATTTCCGTTGAGAATAGCTGTACAGTGTGTCCAGTTTTCGATGCTTTTGTGGGATATCTCAGTTATCTTTGGAGATAGAACCTTGCGGGTTTCGCGGTCGTGTGCCACTTTTTTGTGAAACTCAAGATGGCCTAATCAGATTTTGCATAACTGTTTCCGTTTATGAGATACAGGGCGATTTCGAAAATTTATACTTTTTGGACCCCCTCTATATCTACGAAGTTTCTCAGCAAAAATGTCAAATCAAAATCTCATCCAATGTAAAAGTTCACGCAGAATCCAGTGGCGCACTCAAAATTTTTTTTCGGAGTATGGTTTTGGAGATACGACTCAAACTTATGATTTTTTAAATGGAACACCCTGTATTTTATAAGCTCATAAAATTCCTCATTTTTTTCTCTTCAAAATGATTTATAATGTATGTATATGAAATTTTCAAAAATGCTCTGAAATCACTGAAACATTGAATTTTAATAGAGGGCTATGGATTTTTCTTATAAAAAAGTTCCAATTGAAGGAATATTCATTTAGATTTTTCCATAAAGAGGACAAAAACAATACCAACACTAATTAACTGAGAAAACACAAAAATTATGTACCTGATAGCAACAAATAAATAGTAATAAAAAGTTCATAATGTAGAATAAGCACCAGATCAAATATTTACAAAAACAATTGAATTTCGGAATTATTCAATAACTATTATTCACTGAATTGTTCAAATTGATGTCCATTTCCCATAACACACAATTGACACAGTTTCTCAATACGTCTTGATACAGTAAGAGTCACAAATATCTTGAAGAACTTCGTGCAACAACAGAGGCAGTTATCCACATCCTTTAATGTTTTTGAATGCATTGAGACGTATTGAGAAAGCGTGTGAGGGAAAGTGAACATTAATTTGAACAATTCAATGAATAAGTTACTATTCAATTGTCTTAGTGAATATTAAATCAGGTGCTTATTCTAGAATATGAACTTTTTATTACCATTCATTTGTTGTTAGCAGGTACCTAATTTTTGTGTAATCTCAATTAACTAGTGTTGGGATTGTTTTTGTCCTTTTCATGGAAGAATCGAATGAAATATCCCTTCAATTGAAACTTCTTTAAATGAAAAATCCTCGGAAAAATCCATAGCCCATTATTAAAATTCAATGTTTTAGTGATTTTGGAGCATTTTTGAGAATTTTATACCTATTCATCATATTTCATTTTGATGGGGAAAAAATAAGGAATTTAATGAGCTTATGAAATACAGGGTGTTCCATTTAAAAAATCATAAGTTTGAGTCGTATCTCCGAAACCATACCCAGAAAAAAAAAATTGAGTGCGCCACTGAATTCTGCGCAAAATTCTGTATGGGATAAGATTTCAATTTGACATTTTCGCTGAGAAACTTCGTAGATATAGAGGGGGTCCAAAAAGTATAAATTTTCAAAATCGCCCTGTATCTCATAAACGCAAACAGTTATGCAAAATCTGATTAAGCCATCTTGAGTTTCACAGAAAAGTGGTACAGGACCGCGAAAACCGCAAGGTTCTATCTCGAAAGATAACTGAGATATCACGCAAAAGCATCGAAAACTGGACACACTGTACTCTGTGGGCGCATCTTGAATTTCGAGACAAACTCATCACTGTCATCGATAAAGTGGCAGTTGTTTATATTTTCAAATACGAGTACCAATTTCATCGCATATTGTTCATTATTATGTGATCTCCATGGTAACTGCGTAGTAACTACGTATCTACGTATTCATAACGAAACGGCAATCAATAAAAAATATCACTTTCAATAGTCTGCCAATCGTGACTATACAATATTATACATGCTAGTCGGGAATATCTGTGTTCTTCCTGATGATGTTTCGTTTGTCCTCCATTATTCTGCCACATACGATACCAAATCGAGAGAAATCATCACTGCCGATCCGAATACCTACAGAGCATCATCTACATTCCTCACTCCATAAAAATCAGTTTGAAGAACCTATTTTGTTGGAGGTCTCTCTCTGCAATACTACTCTGTCGGCCTACCTGCCGATATTTATATCTGAACTACGACATTTCTAGTATTTTCATGACCTTGCAAGATCTCTCGGTAAACTTCTTGCATCTTCCACGAACAAGCCCGGATTACCATTAGTTAATCACAATAAGTGTAAATGCTTGTAGAAAAATATGTGTTCATCGTGATGTTCCTTCTGTTCCTCAGAATGGCGCTGTTTTGAATTCTGCCACATATGATACCAAATCGAGGGAACCATTCACTGCCGAATCGAACGCTTGTGTTGTGTTCGACGAACTTATCTTGCTGAATAACTCTCTGTGCAATACTACTCTGTCGGCCTACCTGCCGATATTTATATCGACATTTCTAGTATTTTCCTAACCTTACAAGATCTTTCAGTAATCTTCTTGCATCTTCCACGAACAAGTCCGGGTGACGTGGCCTCTCCGAGAAGAGGGCAAGAGTCTATTCCGCGAAAATTAGTCTCGTTACATTATAATAATAGTCGTAGGAAATATCCCGAGACCATGACAAATAGCCGACTATCATTTTTGTCATAATTCTATCAATAGTACCTTGTTTTTTTACAAGTCGATAGGACCATATGACCAATAATAATCTGAATGACTCTCGAGAGCATTTTGTCATGGTCGAGTGATATTCAGATAGATCATTCCATGAACAGTATAAAAATGCAATTCATCTAGAGGTAGTGCTTCTGAACTTTCCTTTATTGCTTGAAGAAAATATTGCAGGTTTCGCTTTCTCGCATTATGCGCATTCCTGGCACCTTCAAATTCGATATCTTCAAATGGATTTATCTTACGTTTATGTTCAGGAAAGTATACTCCTTGTATATTTTTCCATATCAATTTAACTGTTTACTCTCCATATTTCTCACTATACTCTTCACCCAATCTTCCAGGATTTTTGGCCATCACGAGAGTTGGGGTAGAGTTGCAGGAAATGCATTTCTGCTGGCAAGAAAACAGAAATCGTTCGTGGTCTTTTCTGATATTGATTCGCTTCCATAATTACTGCTAGCTGATCTCTGTAGTGGGAGTAGACCCAAAAAAAGATATTTCAATTTTCAAGTGACTCATATAAAATGTCAAACTTACTAGTGTCAAACATAGCACTCTTATGCTGTTGAACTGAATAGCCGCTCATATTATGTTTGTTCACCTAAATAACCGCTGATATCGCATGTCATGTGATTTAAATCATGAAATTGCATAGGTGCAGCCAGGTGTGAATAAAATAATCGAACTAATAATCGTCATTAGGTAATCGCAATAATTATAAATGCTAGTAGAGAATATCTGTGTCCATCGTGATGTTCCTCCTGTTCTTCATCATCTACATGCCTCACTCCATAAGGATGTTGTGTTTGACGAACCTATTCTGCTGAATGTTCCTCTCTACAATACAACTCTGTTGGCCTACCTGCCGATATTTATATCTGACCAACTACATTTCTAGTATTTTCATAACTTTGAAAGTACTTTCGGTAAACTTCTTGCATCTTTCACGAACGAGCCCAGGTGACGCGATCTTTCCGTTCTTCAGGATGGTGCTGCTTTGAATTCTGCCACATGCGATACCAAATCGAGGGAAAACATCACTGCCGATCCAAACGCTTCCTTACTTCTATATCTACAAAGCATCATCTACATGCCTCACTCCATAAGGATGTTGTGTTTGACGAACCTATTCTGCTGGATGGCGCACGTATGTTATTCCTTGTATTTCACGGATTTCGTGGGAGAGGCGGTATTCAACGGAAATCCAACGGTAAGAAGTAAGAATTGATCATAAAAAGTACAGGGCGATTTTTGGAAAATATTTTGTTTATGATGACTTTTCGAGAAATGTAATAATAATAATAATGATAATAATAAATCATTTATTTTCCTTTTGATAATACCAATATTATATAGGAATAGTCAATAATTGTCAGAATCAAAGATTCATAATGAGAAAAATTCTCCTACACTGTAAAAACATTTATCTATCAAAAACATTCTAAGCCTTCGTTTGAATAAAGATATAGAATCACTATTTTTTATTATGTCAGGTAAATGATTGAACATTTTGGGCCCAATATAGTTTGGAGCAACAGAAGTTAGTTTAAATTTAGCATATGGTACATGAAAAAGATTTTTGAGTCTTGTATCAATTTGATGAATAGCGCTATTTACTACAAAATTCTTTTTGTTTTTGAATACATGTACACATGTTTCAAATATAAGAATACAAGGCAATGTCAGAATATGAAACTGAAGAAACAAATCCTTGCATGTGTTTCTTCTCGATACTCTACCAATACACCTAAGAATACGTTTTTGTGCAATAAACACATTTCTGGCCATTGTGGAATGACCCCAAAGGCCAAAGGCAGACACCATACCTCAGTCTAGATCCCACCTGAGCATGATATAAACTCAGCAACTGATTTTCATCAAGCACGAAACGTAAATTCATAAAAAGATATGCCAGAGAATACAATTTCGAAACTAGCTGTGAACATTGAGATTTCCAATCCAAACACTCATCGAAATTTATCCCTAAAAATTTTACTGGATCATTAGTGTTTTTCAAAATATAGTTATTATGGTCGAATACAAGTTGATCTATCTTATTCTGACGATGATGAAATCTGATGATTTGTGTCTTTTCAACATTAAAAAATAGGTCATCATCATTGAAATAAGCAGATGCTAGACTTACAGAATTACTACATTTTTCGACCACAGATAGCGAATCAGGTGCCGATACAATCAGAGAAAAATCATCTGCGTAAGCAGTGTAATTAATTTTATTAAGAACGGAATCAATTTGATTGACATAGAGTATGAATAAGATAGGTCCTAAAATGGACCCTTACGGAACTCCTATACCAACAGAGATAGGTTTGGAGGTAATCCTTTGTATTCCATCATGACATGTAGTGGATAGTACTAGTCTAGTTCAAATATACAGGTAATTTTTTTAAATTCAATATCATCTCTGTTTTTGAACATGTCAGTTGATAAGCAATGAATATAAAGCTGATTTATATCCATCTTTTGGATTTTTTGTATAAAAGGTCAGTTGAAAATAAATAATCTATTCCATAAATAATTTTCAGAATCAATCTTAAGGAGTGCTTAATAATACATAATTCAGACGTTTGAATTTAGGAATGAGACCACTGTTTTTTTTTTCAACATAACATGATCATCCCACATCAGATTATTATCGAACATTATGTCAAGGTATTTTATACAATCAGTTTCATGAATGTTGATTTTACTGCCAATTTTATGGTACCTAGAGAATTTTGATAGGAAGTAAAAGTGATAAATTTGGTTTTGTCAAAATTGATTGTCAATTAATTATTATCAAACCACTTCCATGAAAATTGGAAAATCCATGACCACTTTCCTTTTCAATTCTCCTCAATCCTTTGCAGATTATAATATAACAGTATCATCTGCAAAAAAAAAGTATATTACCAGTCGAATTCACTCGAAATAAATAATTTATATGAATATAAAAAAAATGTCCTAAAACAATTCCTTGAGGAACACCATACTCAAAATATTCAAGATTACTATGAATATTGTTGATTTCTAAATGCTGAATTCTTTCTGTCGAATGATTTTGTATCAAATTGAAACTAACTCCACGAAATCCAATATCTTTCATTTTTTTAAAAGAAGTTCATGACTAACTGTATTAAACGCTTTGGCTAAAGCAAAAAATAAACAGAGTTGGCTGGTTTTTATCTATCAATTCATTTAAGTTATTTGTTAAATAACAAATAGCATGCTGAGAAGAAAAATTGTTTCATGAATCCAAATTGTCTATTCGACAAACATTTTTGTTTATTCAAATTATTTTTTGTTCTGAATCTCAAAATGTTCTCAAATACTTTAGCGAAAGTGGAAATTTCTATTATTGGTCTGTAGCTGTTAACTCCATGAAATAGTCATACGATTACAACTCGTGATACTTTTTTTTCTGAAAATATTCGGCGATTGATATACTTGCTGCTTTTATTTCGCCCATGACGTTCCAAAGCTTCTCGCCAACTGCCCGAAAGTCTTGATATAACCGTCCTTCGCGAAATGATCAGGCATCAAACTGTCGTAGCAATAACTGAATATGTCTGGCAAAAAAGTATCACTTTTGGTATAATGAATGCCTATGCCACCATACTGAAACAAATTTTCACGAAATCGTAGGCCATAGAGGGGAGTATAGAACGGGAACTATACGAGTCAGGAGTTAGATTCGGATGTTGGGGGATGTCCATGTATTCTCTTTCCTGTGCCTGCTACTCCATGATGATTGAAAACTGCATCTTCAGATTTGGGTAAGCTTCATGTTTCATATCATCAAGTATCCCCATCATTCGCAAGAACTTGGTATATGCCATGGATATTCCATGTCCTCCATAGCATGTGACATTCGTATTCCAGGAATATCCAGAGTCACCATTGAACAGATAACAGGAATATCTGTGTATCTTCCAGAAGATATTGGTGGCATAGGCAAGGAATATAATCTGTCTAATATATAAATAGGATATGCTTCCCAATCATATAACTAGTCACTAGAATGAAATATTCATATGGAACGTAATTCATTACCTAAAGGATGAGAATCAACATGGATAAAGGATGTAGGTATGATAAATACTTGTCGCTTGCATTTTATATACAGGGTGTCAATTTGAAAACTTCCCACCCTCAATATCTCCCTCCAAGTCGATAATATGGAAAAACGAAAAGACAGGTCGATTTTATTTCCGAGGGGGACATGGTTCTAAAATATTTTCAGCCCCGCGGCGTTGCCGCTTCTAACGAAAAGAAGCAACAACTTTGTTATTCCAAATGGAACACCCTGTATTCAATTGCATTTTCAGATTCTCACTGAAAAGCTGATTTCATCAATGCATCACACTTGGGGTCTAGCAGGAATGATTACAGAGATATAGGGTGTTCAAAATCGAGATTTTACAACTTTAGGATTTTTTTGAGTCGAAACTATTCATTATTGGTCAAAACGGCTTTCATGTCCCTATCTCAACTTTTGATTTACTATCTACTGACATTTATTTGAAACAAATACAGGGTGGTTCAAGATTCAGACTTTTGATCACCCTGTATTTGTTTCAAATAAATGTCAGTAGATAGTAAATCAAAAGTTGAGATAGGGACATAAAAGCCGTTTTGACCAATAATGAATAGTTTCGACTCAAAAAAATCCTAAAATTGTAAAATCTCGATTTTGAACACCCTATATCTCTGTAATCATTCCTGCTAGACCCCAAGTGAGATACATTGATGAAATCAGCTTTTCAGGGAGAATCTAAAAATGCAATGAAATACAGGGTGTTCCATTTGAAATAACAAAGTTGTTGCTTCTTTTCGTTAGAAGCGGCAACGCCGCGGGGCTGAAAATATTTTAGAACCATGTCCCCCTCGAAAATAAAATCGACCTGTCTTCTCGTTTTCCCATATTATCGACTTGGAGGGAGATATTAAGGGTGGGAAGTTTTCAAATTGACACCCTGTATCATTTATGATCCTCATCTCTCCTTGGCCAGTAGAGGTGATGAATTCAACATGATCTGCAATGAGTATATATATGAATAGCATAGCAAAGACTAGAATATGGGAGTTAATCGAATCTATTCACCTTTGCTCCTGATGTTATACAAAGGTTGGTAGAACTAGATACCTTCTGAATTCTACAACATCTGAATTAGTTTTATCATTCAATTGTTTTATTGAGAAACTAGCTTCCAGTCAGAAATAAAATTCTGCTATAAGGCAGTTGATTACAAACAACAATAATAGAACAACAACAAAAATCTTGAAAATCTGAAAATGCTAAATCGATCAAGTCATAAAAATAGCAAAAGGGAATAATCAGTAGATGGCAAAGTATCAATTTTATCCATTTCGTAATAAAATCATATGTTTTTTCAAATCATTTCAAATTTTGAGATATGTCGGCAATTTTTTATATTATGTGGTAATTTATTGAATTCAGCTAGAGCAGCGTGAGTCAATTTTTTTGCCAATTAGAGAAGTAGCAGAATCAATATGAAATAAGTTTAATTTTCTCGTGTGATGACCATGAATTTCTGAGTTTCTTATCGTAACACAAAAGGATTTTAGATTATTGTTAATGATATTATATGAAACTTTAGGAGAATCTATTTTATACAATTAATTCAATGAAAATTTCTCTGTTATCGCATATTGATCATTTGTTGGGATATCAAATGAGAGGCGATACAATACTTTTAGTGATTTCTTATAAAGTGCAGATATTTTACTGAAATGATTTTTGGAATAAGATCCCCAAACGTTCATCATATAAGTAATACGACTGAGTATATCCAACTTTGATAGGTGGTGGTAAAATTCCACTCAAGTATGTCAGGTAGTGTCATCACAGTTGAGAGAATATATTCCCCGAAATGCCGCCAAACGTGCCGCGGCTACCTTCCCCTTTCCCCGTCTTGATCGCAGCAAGTTGCAGCTAGCGAACGTCAGTCGGCTACGTACATAGTGAATCAAGTGAACGCAGCGATCGTGCTATATCGAGTGTCTCAAATAATAGCCTATTAGTGTGAATTAAAGCATAAGTATGTCTATAACGTATTGCGTTATTGATGGCTGCAGAAGTAGAATGGGTGGAGAATTATCATTTTTTAGATGTCCATTGGATGAGGACAGGCAAAAAAATACTTACATTATAAATACAATTAAAGGGGAAAGTTACCAAACTGCTGTTGAAATGTAGATGGCAAAGTATCAATTTTATCCATTTCGTAATAAAATCATATGTTTTTTCAAATCATTTCAAATTTTGAGATATGTCGGCAATTTTTTATATTATGTGGTAATTTATTGAATTCAGCTAGAGCAGCGTGAGTCAATTTTTTTGCCAATTAGAGAAGTAGCAGAATCAATATGAAATAAGTTTAATTTTCTCGTGTGATGACCATGAATTTCTGAGTTTCTTATCGTAACACAAAAGGATTTTAGATTATTGTTAATGATATTATATGAAACTTTAGGAGAATCTATTTTATACAATTAATTCAATGAAAATTTCTCTGTTATCGCATATTGATCATTTGTTGGGATATCAAATGAGAGGCGATACAATACTTTTAGTGATTTCTTATAAAGTGCAGATATTTTACTGAAATGATTTTTGGAATAAGATCCCCAAACGTTCATCATATAAGTAATACGACTGAGTATATCCAACTTTGATAGGTGGTGGTAAAATTCCACTCAAGTATGTCAGGTAGTGTCATCACAGTTGAGAGAATATATTCCCCGAAATGCCGCCAAACGTGCCGCGGCTACCTTCCCCTTTCCCCGTCTTGATCGCAGCAAGTTGCAGCTAGCGAACGTCAGTCGGCTACGTACATAGTGAATCAAGTGAACGCAGCGATCGTGCTATATCGAGTGTCTCAAATAATAGCCTATTAGTGTGAATTAAAGCATAAGTATGTCTATAACGTATTGCGTTATTGATGGCTGCAGAAGTAGAATGGGTGGAGAATTATCATTTTTTAGATGTCCATTGGATGAGGACAGGCAAAAAAATACTTACATTATAAATACAATTAAAGGGGAAAGTTACCAAACTGCTGTTGAAATGTACTGCAAAATGGCAATTTTCGCAACTGATTTCGACATTGCATATTTTCTCGATCTTTCTATATATTCGGATTAATTATTCTCGATTATATGAAAAGTCTATCAGTTATACGAGACTATCTATTTCAATTGAAAAATATGTCAAGTTCATATTTACTTCGGAAATTGATTTGCTTTCCGAATTTCATTCAAGTGACTATTTGGAAATAGAAGTGGAATATCATTGTAACAATAGTTGCGTAGATCGCTGATAAAAACATACCGTAGAATGGGGTGACTTGAAATCGTGTGGTGACTTGAAATAAAATGCAGTGAAAATTTTGAAGTAGTGGCAACGTCGCATGTCAACGGAAGAAGCTAAACTAGTCTTTCAGTCTAATGATTTTTTGTTTATTTTTGTAGTTTTTTATCTTTTTTGTATTTTGCTAAAAAATATTTGTTCTAAAACACAGTGTTTTTTTATGAAATTGATGATTTCTATATATTTTTTATTTAATTTTCATTTCATGTCACCACCTAGACCATCCTACTTGAAATAATCGTTGATAAGAAGTCATATTTCAAGTCACCCCATATTGGGGTGACTTGAAATATGACGTTTGACATTTTTTTTTCGAAAACTACACTATATAGAAACGGTTTTAATGTATCGTTCTGTTCTTTAGGGTCGAAAGAGTTGGTGACTATTTTTAGTTTGGTTGAAAGTTGCATGGTAAGGTCGCAATCTATGGAAGTGTGTCAAAAATCTTATCAAGTCACCCCATTCTACGGTATTCTGGCAAATTATTATACAGGATGAGCAATAAAGCATGTTTAGTTAAGAAATGTGCAGTGAATTTGAGCATGTCAAATCATGTTTTGTAGGTGTCAAGCTTGGAAAAATGTGTTGGGATTCATAGGTACACATAGATATGCAAATATAACATCAGAGCAGGGTCACAGCAGATTGAAAGTTTGCAGCTTAATTTCACTGAAAATTGTTTTGTGAATGAAGCACGAAATCGCCTCCAGAAGTTTGCCATTCCTTCTTCACTGGGACTCCTTCCAAAGGTTATCTTTATCTATCAATTAATATCTATCAATTAATATCTATAGATATTAATTGATAGATGTTACTATAGTAACATCTCTATATATAAAAATGTTTGTCTGTCTGTCTGTCTGTCTGTCTGTCTGTCTGTCTGTCTGTCTGTCTGTCTGTCTGTCTGTCTGTCTGTCTGTCTGTCTGTCTGTCTGTCTGTCTGTCTGTCTGTCTGTCTGTCTGTCTGTCTGTCTGTCTGTCTGTCTGTCTGTCTGTCTGTCTGTCTGTCTGTCTGTCTGTCTGTCTGTCTGTCTGTCTGTCTGTCTGTCTGTCTGTCTGTCTGTCTGTCTGTCTGTCTGTCTGTCTGTCTGTCTGTCTGTCTGTCTGTCTGTCTGTCTGTCTGTCTGTCTGTCTGTCTGTCTGTCTGTCTGTCTGTCTGTCTGTCTGTCTGTCTGTCTGTCTGTCTGTCTGTCTGTCTGTCTGTCTGTCTGTCTGTCTGTCTGTCTGTCTGTCTGTCTGTCTGTCTGTCTGTCTGTCTGTCTGTCTGTCTGTCTGTCTGTCTGTCTGTCTGTCTGTCTGTCTGTCTGTCTGTCTGTCTGTCTGTCTGTCTGTCTGTCTGTCTGTCTGTCTGTCTGTCTGTCTGTCTGTCTGTCTGTCTGTCTGTCTGTCTGTCTGTCTGTCTGTCTGTCTGTCTGTCTGTCTGTCTGTCTGTCTGTCTGTCTGTCTGTCTGTCTGTCTGTCTGTCTGTCTGTCTGTCTGTCTGTCTGTCTGTCTGTCTGTCTGTCTGTCTGTCTGTCTGTCTGTCTGTCTGTCTGTCTGTCTGTCTGTCTGTCTGTCTGTCTGTCTGTCTGTCTGTCTGTCTGTCTGTCTGTCTGTCTGTCTGTCTGTCTGTCTGTCTGTCTGTCTGTCTGTCTGTCTGTCTGTCTGTCTGTCTGTCTGTCTGTCTGTCTGTCTGTCTGTCTGTCTGTCTGTCTGTCTGTCTGTCTGTCTGTCTGTCTGTCTGTCTGTCTGTCTGTCTGTCTGTCTGTCTGTCTGTCTGTCTGTCTGTCTGTCTGTCTGTCTGTCTGTCTGTCTGTCTGTCTGTCTGTCTGTCTGTCTGTCTGTCTGTCTGTCTGTCTGTCTGTCTGTCTGTCTGTCTGTCTGTCTGTCTGTCTGTCTGTCTGTCTGTCTGTCTGTCTGTCTGTCTGTCTGTCTGTCTGTCTGTCTGTCTGTCTGTCTGTCTGTCTGTCTGTCTGTCTGTCTGTCTGTCTGTCTGTCTGTCTGTCTGTCTGTCTGTCTGTCTGTCTGTCTGTCTGTCTGTCTGTCTGTCTGTCTGTCTGTCTGTCTGTCTGTCTGTCTGTCTGTCTGTCTGTCTGTCTGTCTGTCTGTCTGTCTGTCTGTCTGTCTGTCTGTCTGTCTGTCTGTCTGTCTGTCTGTCTGTCTGTCTGTCTGTCTGTCTGTCTGTCTGTCTGTCTGTCTGTCTGTCTGTCTGTCTGTCTGTCTGTCTGTCTGTCTGTCTGTCTGTCTGTCTGTCTGTCTGTCTGTCTGTCTGTCTGTCTGTCTGTCTGTCTGTCTGTCTGTCTGTCTGTCTGTCTGTCTGTCTGTCTGTCTGTCTGTCTGTCTGTCTGTCTGTCTGTCTGTCTGTCTGTCTGTCTGTCTGTCTGTCTGTCTGTCTGTCTGTCTGTCTGTCTGTCTGTCTGTCTGTCTGTCTGTCTGTCTGTCTGTCTGTCTGTCTGTCTGTCTGTCTGTCTGTCTGTCTGTCTGTCTGTCTGTCTGTCTGTCTGTCTGTCTGTCTGTCTGTCTGTCTGTCTGTCTGTCTGTCTGTCTGTCTGTCTGTCTGTCTGTCTGTCTGTCTGTCTGTCTGTCTGTCTGTCTGTCTGTCTGTCTGTCTGTCTGTCTGTCTGTCTGTCTGTCTGTCTGTCTGTCTGTCTGTCTGTCTGTCTGTCTGTCTGTCTGTCTGTCTGTCTGTCTGTCTGTCTGTCTGTCTGTCTGTCTGTCTGTCTGTCTGTCTGTCTGTCTGTCTGTCTGTCTGGCTGTCTGTCCTCTTGCATCTTCTGTCCATATTAAAATGTTTTTTATGTTTTGTATTTCTATGTTTGTTAGCAAGCGAGAAACCCCCTTTAAGTAGGGCTCACATCCTATAAATAATAGATCAGGTTCATTGAGCACCTGGTAAAGCATATTTTCACCGTTGCCAAAGCCTATTTCTACCCATATTCTTTTTCGTGAATTTACAATCTTCTCTATAGATTCCTTGCTGTTTTGAATAGAATATTTTTCCAATATTTCATCAACATCCGGTTTTAACCTAAAAAATAAAATCGTAAACGGCTTTCGATAATTTTTTTATGTCTTTTTCGTTATAGTTCAGGAGTGGTCTACAAACATTTTTGTTGCAAGGTTCAATGAGTTAGCTGGACAAGATTCCAATAGGTATGAAACTGAGAAATGAATTCTACAAGCAATCATTCCATCATCCATGTGAGAACTTTCCATATGATTATTTCTTTTCATTATATACAAGATTGAGGATTTATTATACCCTAAAATTCTTGAATCATGAAATAAAAACAGGTAAAATCAACAAGGCGAATCCGAAAATAAGTATATTAAAACATTTATGATTTTTTCAAATTTTTATATTTATAAAGATAATAATAGATGTTTTTTTTTCATATATGATCATTCCCTCCCTGCATTCTTCTCAATATAATAAACAATCATAATTCAATTATTATTCAAGTTGAAATCGAGTATAACTATCAGCAATCAAACATCTGGAAGATCCCTGGTAAAATTCTACGCGTAGATCGCATGTTGTCGAGGTCCGATTGCCCCTGGTATTGTACCGATTTTTTGTCGCCGCCACTAATGAGGCGCATCGCTTCTGAACTCGAACATCAACGGGAATTCGGAGAGTGACCCAACTGGTATATGTAATATTCTCTCAACTGTGGTGTCATCTGTCAGTAGAGTGGTTTACTTGTAGTACCACTCTGTAGCGTATAGACGTAGGGATCTGTAAGTGTGACTATAGATGGCAGCGCCATACAGTGTGTGTCGCGATTTCTGTATCCTACCTTAGAGCTTTTCACTATATGGCTACAACATGACTATAACTTCATGTTATACCCTATGTATTGTCTAGTTTGGTAATCATGAATTTACACCACAGATTATTCAGTTGAGAATATTTCATGAATATACCGCACAGAATATTCAGTTGGGTATATTTCATGAATATACCGCACAGAATATTCAGTTGGGTATATTTCATGAATATACAACAGAGAATATTCAGTTAGGAATATTCCTGGAAGATTCATACCTGAATATTCCCTGAACATGTCCGAGAACTATTCACTTTGGAATATTCCTTTTAGATGTTCCTGAGGCATGTATATATTCTAGGAATAATCGATGAATATTCGGAATATACTCCTCCTTTTTAGCATATTCAGAGAATATTCCATGAATATCCAGTGCTCTCTGGGGTATTCATCAACACATATTCTACCTTTCTCAGTTTGACTATCTATAAAACCTTGATATTTTAGTTTTTCAAACTACAGTTTGTGTCAATCACTTTTCCATTTTTGCAGTGCCAAAAAGGTTTATGTCGGTGGACTTCTGGTGTATTCGACAGGAATGCTACTGATGGCAATCACTAAACACAAAGTGGGAGTAATTCTCTTCAGTTGGACTGCTGGCGTCATGTATTCGACTCTCTTCACCATGCCGTACTTGATAGTGGCCCATTACCATGCTAGAGGAACAGTAAGTGAGCCACTCTGTGTTATTGGACGTGTTAATCTCAAATATCCGCCAATGATGTGAAAAAAGTGCGATTTTGTAAAATAATATCCGCCCCGAACTTTTTTCGCTCTATTTGTTCTTCGATCAAGGATGGAATTATACAGAAGACCACTGAGTGCACTATCGTGTCTAGCATATCGCAATATCGTAAATTGAGCAACAGAGGTGCCTAAACCTTTCGAACCATTTCCACACTCAAAGAAATAGTATGGGTTGAATTGAAAAGAAAATGTGTCTAATCAACAACATCATTATAATTGTTGAATGAAACTACAATGATGGTACATTCAATGATTAGAGGTGATCGTCAACGCAATTGAGGAAAAATTGTACATGAACAAATTCAACGTAAACCAAAAATATCAGTTGGTTTAGATAATATTTTTGTGGTACAACCAATAATTTGTAAAAATTTGTCAAATCGAATAGTATTCCAACAACATCATAACTTTAACTGAAACATCATAATAACTCGCTCACTGTTATATTCGTTAGACAAACGAACTGGACGTTATAATCAATATATACCTATTTCAAATCACGCTAAAGACAGTATTTCAACTATATTTTATCGAAACTAAAATATTATTACAGCTCGTTCACTGTCATAGTTGGTAGACTAACGAACAGTAGAATAGATTATGAAGGGTTGACAATGAGCTTGTGATCTCCCCATTGGTATTTGCAGGTCGACAGCGTCCACATGAGATTTTGTTGTTGGCGTCTTATTTGGTTTTTTGTGTTGTGGCTTTATATTATCATTTCACATTATACCTATTCTGCAATGTAATGATTTTGGTAAGTCGATTATTTATTCACTGTATTCAATATCAAGTTGTGATTCAGTACTAAATTTGGTAATGATTTAACACACTGTATGCAATTATTGCTAAAGTTTGTCTCTTTTTCTCAGGACTCTCTTCAATTTCTGGATCATTCAGTATAAAAGAAGTAGATATATCCCCAGGTAAGTTGTATATGACAAGTACCAGAACCATAATAGAAGATTCATAAAATTTTGAAATTTCTTGTCAAGGAGTACCACTGATGTAGTCTTCCCAATTAATAATCATGATGAGTAAAATTCATCAGATGATGGAAATTATGTGATGGTGAGTATTATTCATGTATTCAATCAATACATTATCGAATTCATATTTCGATTCTACACGTTTCTTGCAGGAAGAAGATGATAAACTGTGGTTGCAATTAAATAACGTCCATTGACTGTTGTAGAGGATAAATGGAAGAGTACATTCAAATTACGGAGACGAGAAATTACAAATGAAGAGAATTATACTATAGATATTTTGTAAAGTTGGCCACCATTCAACTGCTAGATAATAGTTTTGTTTTGGTAAAGATGACACATTTTTTTGGTAGATAACATAATGTCGGTATGTCTTTTGGTTGGTTGGACTTCTCCAACTTACTTGAAGAGGAAAGAAGTTTTCCACAATGTTACCCGTGTTGAAGAAGTAGACAGACTAGGCTTTGATGTAATGAATAAACTTGATTCGAAATCTGTTTTAATCCATTGCTACATTAAAAACCTGAAAAATAGTCAATATACCTATATATCTACTATACACTTTGTTGAAGAAAATATTATGGCTATCTATATAAAATATGAGTGAATGGACAAAAATGATGATTAACGTACCAGTTATTTTTCAAAGCAACAAGTCCATTCGTATGATGACTAAACATTTTCAACTAGTGCTCGCTGGTTGATATAATCATTAAACCAGATAGGCTCATTTTCATATGCTTTTTTTGATTGATTCAACCCATCAAGTTCTTTGAGTACTTCACATTCGAGATTCGTGTTTTTTCATGATTTGTGTTCGCAATAAAATTGTGAAGGCTGAGTTCAGTCAGGGAGTTTCATTCAGGTCCACTAACAGCATGGCGTCAGCCCACTGTTATCATTTGTGTAGTGATTTAGGCTTTCAAAGATGTATTTCCTTTCTTTCGAGACCCTCCGAGTGGAATACGTATGCGTCCATAATGTATCACGTGATTCACTGTGACCAATCTGACAATGAGGTTTGGGAATGGTTCGTGAACTCTAGGCTCTCGTTTGAGCAACAGGGTTAGCAAAGGCAACATATGTTTTCTACCTTATGCCACCTGGCGGAATATCAAAGCTATCAACTAGGTCTGGTACATTTTGGTTTTTGTTCGTGCTTCTATCAAAACAAACCGCCCAGAAGTGTTCAAGTTATTGCCGTCAGGTGGAACGACATGTAGTTTTTTATTTGAATCTCTATGGCGATATGATTCTGATGAAATTCAATTAAATTTGCGGAATAAGTCCGAATATTATAAAAATATCCGAAAAGATCCGAAATTCACAGAAGAATCTTCAAAATATCAGAAAAATATCCGAAATATTGTAGGATCCGGAAAGTCTCCGCCTTATCAAAAAAGATCGGACTTTTATCTGCCAATTATTTGAAGCCACTATTTTCTCATCATTTGGTTACGAAAGCGCTGAAGGGCTATATGTGATGAATTTATCAGCAAACTCGATCAGCCGACTTTGCTATTGCTTCGATAAAAACCATTGACATATAAACCACTACCTAGACTACTTTATGCCATGGGAAAGAAACTATATATTGTCGCAAATGGAAGATTGAACGGTCATGTCTTTGTTTATCAATTTCGAAAATGCCTGAATCATTAACGAACTAGTAGTTTGAACATAAACGCAGGCGACAGGCGTGACATTGACTTCAAACAAACCAAGAACATTGACCTGATTTCCTTACTGCCCTGTTTCCGAAAATATAGGTGGCTATTTAAGAGTCGTAAGGAATCGGCACAGCTTTAGTTTCGTTGTTCTGGTCGTAAATATAAAATAGGGAAAAAAGTTTTATTATTCGGAGGTTCATAAAGTTGCAACTGTGACCGAATCTTCAGAGGTCGGGCAGAACAGAATATGCCCTTCCCCTAGGCTTTTTTATTTAATCGCTTGGAGCGCACGAAAGAAAATCCCTAAAATGTTCAAAGAACATCGTGCGTTCCTATAGGGAGGATAGGGACAGGAGGTATAGGCATTGGAAATTTTTTTGAACTTCTGGAGATTATATGATGTCGGGAATACTTCCTCAGGAAATGAATTCCAGAGCCAAGCCGTTCTATGGGTGAAGGAGTTTTGATGAAGTGCTGATCGACATCTTTCGTGGTTGACAACTAGAGGATGTGCTGACGGGGTTGTCTAGGTCGTCTGACTGGTATTGCTAGTGAAGGCATGATAGCAGAGATTTCCGAAGAACATTTCCCGTGGAAGTATCTATAGAAAAGTGAAAGGTTGCCGACCCTTCTACGGTGTTCCAATTATGTCAAAGAGTGAGTGAGTGTGGCGTCACCCACCAGGCGAATGGCTCTCCTCTGGATAGAATCCAAGAGCATCAGCGTATGTTTTGGTGATGAACCCCATATGTGGGAACAGTATTCTGGAACAGGCCGTTTCTGCGCTTTGTAGATCAAGAGAAGCTGTCGGGGTGTAAAGTAGCTTTTCGCACGGAACAAGAACCCGAGTTTTTGTGAAGCAGCTTTTGCGATGGATCTGACATGATTATCCCATGAAAGAGTGTTGCTGATGGAAATACCGAGCAAAGATATGGTGGGCTTGGTGGGGATTGTGGTGCTAGACATTACAATATCAGGCATACTGAGTTCCGCCTTTCTAGAGAAAATACAGGCTTGAGTTTTGGTGGCGTTGAATTCAACTAGGTTGTTGGTTCCCCAGGCTGTGATTTCCTGGAAAGAAATGGGAATTCTGGAAGAGAACGCACTTTGGAGGGTACTATCATCTGCAAAAGCTGTGGATGGGGCAAGTTGTTACTCCCAACAGCTCGTCGATATAAAGAAGGAATAATGTTGGGGCCAAAATTGATCCTTGTGGAACGACGGAATTGATGCCAATGTTATCAGACGATACACCGTCCACCACCACGTAAAGCGATCTTCCTGAAAGAAAATACGATAAGAGATAGCATAGCTGAGGTGGTAAGTCGTATGATGGTGGTTTGTGGAGGAGTCCTTCGTGCCAAACACGGTGGAATCCTTTCGATATGTCCAACGCGACAGCTAGAGATTCCCCGTGTTTTTCTAATGAAGCTTGCCATAAATGGGTGACGTAGGCAAGTAGATCTCCAGTAGATCTTCGGTGGCAAAAGCCGTATTGTCCATCATTGATGATTCCTGAGCTCTCCAGATATTTGGTAAACTCAATATTGATGGCTTTCTCCATCACTTTGGAGATTACTGATAACAGGGAAATGAGCCTGTAGTTGTTGGGCAGGGTATTGTTGCCTTTTTTGGGGATTGGTTGGACTCTAGCTGTCTTCCAGCATGATGGAAAAATACCCGACCTGTACGAGACGGTAAACAACTTGCAGAGAATCGGTGTTAACTCTGGTGCACATTTTTTGAGGATAATGGGTGGAATTCCATCAGGACCGTTTTGAGACCAAGCAAAATTCGTCTGACTCTCAATGGGTGGAATGTGTGGCGGCACTTTTCCTTCGGAATCTGAGCAATATCAAATTTAGTGTATAAATAGTGTGACCATAGTGGTAATCATTGGTTTTATAAAATGTTGTTACTTATTCAACAAATAAATGTTAATTTCTTCGGTTGATATCGTTGTCGTCTGATTATTAAATCTAAGATGGAGCTAGAATATCTCATCTGAGTTCAACCAACCGGATTGTCTGAATTCGAGGCTAAAATGGTCATATTTACTTTTTAGGCAAATGTTCGTGAAAAAAAAAGTTTTTTTTTCTACTAACGTCAAAAAATGACAAGGTTCGCGCATTGATAACAAATTGCAAAGTGACACTTTTTTTCAGTTTCCTACGTTACCATTATACCTTGCCTCGTTGAAAAAATCAGATCTCGATCACTAAAGTAGCATTTCGCGCTCTAGATACAAAAATAACTATTTTGGGATGACAGTTCAGATGCATTGTAGTGTTAGCTGTGAAGTTTTTGAAACATTGATTATCGCATGGTCCTTCAACGACCCCGTACAATTCAATTCACAATTGAATTCACAACAAATTGCCATTTCAGTTCGAGACTACCAGTGAGGGGGAAGAAAAAATATCCACGCAACTTCGAGGGCTAGGCACTGACGTCGCTATAGTCTCCAGCATGGTGTTTCTGGCCCAGTTCATCCTGTCCCTCTGCATGGGTACCATCGTAAGCGTGACTGGTACTACCACGGCAGTCGTCAGTGTGGCCAGTACCCTGGCGTTTTTCGGTGCCATATCTGCTACACAAGTGATGTATTTGGATTTGTAAATAGTGGCGTAACTGGAGTTACAACATACGTTGAAAGATGATCGAATAATGAACTGTATGAAAGGGTTAGAAAACACAAAAGCATCTCCACAACGTTTATTAATCGAAAGATAATTTAGGGGAACATGTTTCGGACAGTCATATGTCCATCATCAGTCTCAATCCTTACAAACCAGAGGCCTACGGAATAAATAAAACATTTTTTTTATGTTCTGGTTCCCACGAAAAGGGATATCCTGTAATGTACAGAGAACATCGTGAGAACCAAGGGAAATAAGGTAGAAATAGGTGTTCTCCTTGAATTTCTGGAGGTAAAATGCCTCAGAGAACACTTCCCTTGGCAATGTGTTCCAGAGCCTTGCTTTTCGTTGGATGAACGAGTCTTTGGAAAAGGATGTTCTGCAGGTCTCCAAAGTGACCACGAAGGAGTGCGGAGTCTCAACTCGGCGGGTTAATCTCGCAGGGACTGCCATGGGAGAAACCATTGTTGATATTTCAGAAGAGCATCGTCCAAGACAATATCTATAAAATTGAGCTAGATCGCCAACTTTCCCACGGTGTTCCAGAGAAGTGAAGAAGTTTGTGAGTGAGGCATCACCCACGAGACGAATTGCCCTTTTTTGGACAGAATCCAACAGTTTCAGAGTATGTTTGGGTGCCGCACTCCAAATATGGAAACAGTATTCCAGGACAGGTCGGATGAGTGCCTTATAGATCATGAGCAATTGACTGGAAGTACAATAGCTCCTGGCCCGAAACAGAAAACCTAGTTTTTGAGATGCACTTTTAACAATTGATCTCACGTTATTTTCCCAGGAAAAGTTATTGCTGATAGTAATACCAAGCATCGAAATGGATGTCTTCAAAGGTATGGTTACTCTTGACAAGCTTATGTTGGGCACAGTGAGGTCGGCTTTTCTAGAGAAAAGGCATGCTTGTGTTTTGTTTGCATTGAAATCTACCAAGTTGTTGGATCCCCACTCGAGAATTGTTGCCAAGTCCATATTTATGTTGTGAAAACTTTATTAAAGTTATTGTGCAGAGCATCGGTTAAGGGTCAGGTTAGTTGTGAAGGCAAAACCCACTTTTGTAAAAATGGTGGAATCAAATAATTACTCGAAATCAAACCTACATCAGATGATGGAGAACAAGTACTGGCCCTCAAACGGTGCTTTGCACAGTGATTTTAATCAAAGTTTTCAATGTTTTTTTTCATTCTCACGACTTTTGGATTGTAGGGATTAAGGCTGATGATGGACACATGACTGTCCGAAACATGTTTCTCTGAATAATCTTTCGATTATTGAACGTGTGGAGATGATTTTGTGTTTTCTAACCTTTCATCACTACACTTCATTTAGAAAAAATTATGGACTTCCACATAAGATTACGTTGAAAGTATGTTGCTGAATATATCGATTATCAAGCAGTTGAATGTTGTTCATTACTGTCTAACCATAATATCATTAAGTAAATGAAGAAATATCATATGATAAAAATAGTTAGTTATTATAAAAGGGAAAAAGTAGTAGATTCAAGCTCCAGAGGTTGTAGCGGAGGAAGACAAAGAAACCTTGAGCTAAAATCTAATATATTTTCCCTTGTATAATATACTATTCTTTTCTGTGACAGGAAAAAGAACGAATCAATATTCAGAAGATATTACATTATATCGAAATCAAAAAATTATCAACGTGAAATTTGAAGTTTTTAAAAAGAATGACACCTGCTGGCATACAACCTTATCATTCTTTTGAAGTCATCAGATATCTGTCATATATCGAAGACTGGATCCTTTGGCATGATAATACACTACACACTGTTTCACCACTAACCAAACCGATTTTTTATACCTCGGCACGTATTTAGGTAACTATGTTAGCATATTCAGGAAAAGATCGATACTGAGTTTTAGTCTTTTCCTGAAGATGCTAACATAGCTAGCGAGACACGTGTCGAGATAAAAAAAAATTGGTTTGTTAGTGGTAGAATAGTGTGCAGTGGAGATATCTGTCTGGCTAATTCTGTGATTTTATTTTCAAAAATTGCGAATTTAGTTGTTGTTTAGTAATTTACGTTCTCAGAGACGGTTTCATTGGCTTATTTTTTTGGAAATATAGCACAACGAATGCCATCAGTAGTGTATAAATATGTGATATATAAAAAAGTGTGATATATAAAAAAGTAATTTATTATACAAGGGAAAAAAGTAGTAGATTTTAGTTCCAGGTTGTAGCGCCAGAAGACAAACAACCGTGAGCTGAAATCTAATATTTTTCCCGTGTAGAATATACTATTTTATTCGGTGACAAGAAAAAGGAACAATCTATATTCAAAAGATATTACATTTCATCGATATCAAAACATTATCGAAGTGAAATTTGAAGTTTTAAGAGGAATGACACTTGCGCTGCAGGTATCTTTATCATTCTTTTGAAGTAATCGAATATCTGTCAGGGTAATTTTGTGATTTGATTTTCAGAAATTGGGAATTTAGTGGTTGTTCAATATTTCACGTAACCGCGAAGTCGAATGGAAGATAAAAGAACTTGCAGTTCTTTCTCGGAGACGTTGATATTGGCTCATATTTTGGAACTATAGCACAACAATCGCCATCAACAGTGATATATGTGATATATTCATATATCCAGGAAGAAAGTAATCATTTTTTTACCGTGGGAAAAAAGGAATTTTTGAAAAGATACATTTTATATCCTGTCAACAGAGATAAAAGTTCAATCTTTTGTCCCGTCACAGAAAAAAGAAATTTATAATAATTTCAAGATAATCATATTATGTTTCGGTGACATATCAGCCACACAAGTGATGTATTTGGTTTGTGGACAGTGTCGTAGCTAGAGTTATATTGGCCCAGTGGGCCAACATACCTTGGAAATATGTCAGAAGGTGATTGAAAAATAAACCGTTGAAAGTATTTGTGGCTATTTCGTAATTCGTTGAAAGTATGTTGGAATGTTGCTGAACATATTGATTATTCATCTGAAGTAGTCCATACTCAATTCATCAAGCAGTATGAAATTTGAATGTTGTTTATTATCGTCTAAACATAATCATTAAGTTAATAAAGGATATGTTGTATGGTTAAAATATTAATTTTTTTTACAAGGAGAAATGAAGTATTAGATTCCAGCTCAAGGTTATGTTGTCTCCCGACGCGTACCGGAGGGATACAAAAAACCACGAGCTAAAATTTAATATTTTCCCGTGCATAATACAATGAATTTTACTGTAACAAGAGAAGAGACGATTCAATATTGAGAAAATATCACATTATAATGAAATAAAAATTATCGGTGTGGAATTAGAATTTTTTTAATTGGTAATATCCCAATATCCCCCGGAGCATAGGGCAGCACTGGGGTCTCGTCTATTCCGTACGAGTGCGTCAAATCGTAGTAGAGCACTCGCAATGCCGCATTGTGTCTATGGTTATAGGCCGAGACTGCATACATCGTTCAAGAAGACAGCAGGTGCATAATTGTCTCGGACGCCCTGCAGCAGGCCCTGCAATTTGTGTCAGGAACCTCCATACCCATGACACGGCTACGGTAGACGAGAGTGTTAAAAACTCCATCCTGGCAAGCCATGATGAACCCCTCTGTTTCCGAATTAAGCCCGCCTGACTTGAGAAAAGCAAGTCAGTTCTTTGGATGAGCCCCGGTCTTCGATGGTCTTGAAGTAGACCAAAGCATGGGCTTACACATTTGAAGCTACAGGAGCTTTCTTACTTCTTCAGCTTTGATGTGGGCCTTTTTCAGAGTGGGCTCTAGCTCAGTAAAAGAGTCCTGAGCCTCGCGCTCGGAGTCGAAAATCAGAGATAATTCATCGGCTGCTCGACGTGCTGCTCTAAAGAGAAAAGCTCCTACTCCTGCCTCTTCATGGGTTTCAACCATTTGCAGGAGGGGATCCAAACTCCTGATGACTTTGCAGGCGCCATCCAGAACTATTCTGTTATGGAGATACTCCAAGCTCAAGAGTCCACGGCCACCCTGGTCTCTAGCTATGTATAACCGTGGAACGGACGAATTCGGATGCAGACTCCTATGGAGATGCATCATCTTGCGAGTACTTACGTCAAGTTGTCGCAGCTCGACTTGAGTCCACTTTATCACTCCAAATGAGTAAAGTAGGATCGGAACAGCAAGCATATTAGTAGCAGCGACTTTGTTCTTGCCCGACAGTTCTGACGACCAGATCTGTCGGAGCCGCTGCCGATACTTGCTGCAAAGAGGGTCTTTCACCCGTTGTGCCTCCTGGATGTGAGTTTCCTCTACACCCAGGTAGGTATACGTCTCTCCGGCATCCAGGTGGTGTAGGAGGCTTCCGTCCACGAGCTGCGCGTTCTTGTCGTAGTTCTCGCATCGTCCTCTCTTGAGATGAACCGGTGCACATTTGTCCATCCCGAATTCCACTCCAATTGCCTGCGTGTACTCCTGCACCACCCTGAGGGATTGGTACATATCCCTCTCACCAGAGGCATACAGTTTGGGGTCATCCACATAAAATAATTGGGTGACCGTATGCCTCCGGTAACTGGGATCAACGGATAGTGGCAGAAATGAGATGCAGAATAAGAGAGGGCTAAGGGATTCCCCTTGAAATACTCCTCTCCTTATGATTATTATCATCGTCATGTATGATTCTACCATTCAATGTGTTTGGCATAACTTTAATTGGGAAAAAACACAATCGGCTACCACCCGACAAAAATGTAACGCCCTATTAATTGTACGTTGCATTGATTTTTTTAACTTTTTACGGTCATACCACGGCCGCCTCCACCACTGAAAACCCGCCATGGTACGGCAGTAAAATAAGGACCCAGTAAAGACATTATTTGTTATATGCACATACATATGCCGCCAGTTTCATATAACGGATGTTCCATAACTCAATTCCCTCGAATTGACGTCAATTTACTAAAAACCTAGATGATCTAATTTATCTAGAATTCACAGCAATGTTTCATATAACAGTGATTTCATATAGCAGTTATATCACTTTTACATAATATTCTCACATATTAA